CAAAGCTTTGAAGGTTGATTTCAATGAAACCTGTTTTTATTCTAGGCATTTCTCCTACTGTCATTCTGAGTAAAACAAAAACCATTTATTGTCAAAACAACAAGGGTTTGTCTCAAGCACAAAATGAAAGCAGATACGTCTGCCTGATTTATTTTGGCATCCGCCTAACAGTTAAATAGGACACCTTTTAATTTGTCACTTCTTAAAGATGCATTTAGGTTGGGAAAGTAAATCACCAGTTCTTGGTTTCAACTAAACTTGAACCAGCTGGGCAGAAAGGTGTATTTTTTTTTTAATCCCTCTGACACATACCCTTTCAAAGTGCTAATTAAAAAAGAAATTATAAAGTTAGCAACATATTAAAGATACTAAGATGTTTTTAAATTTTCAACTGGAGGAACTTAGAAATCTAACTTACTTACCAAAGATCAACTAGAGTTCTGGGAAGAGGCATAGGTGATCAGGCTTTTCAACAAGACTATTTAGAACTATTAAAAAGGGTGAATATTCAGTTTTCTAAAAAAATTAAAATCAACTGTGAGTAAAGAAGCTTCTTAACTTTACCATTGGCTAGCTGAAGAAGTTATTTGATCTCTCCAAGTCTCAGTTCCTTTATAAACTGAGGATAATGTCTAATGCTTGGAAGATTAACTAAGGCAATGGCCACCTAGCATGGAGCATCTTTGAGGTACCTAATAGCTGCTCAACAAGTATGAGGCACTATTATTCAGAAAGCCTTCTATAACATCTTTTAACAACTCAGTCCATTTCTTACTGTATGAACGCTGTTCCTTCTATCTGGCCCAAATTTATTTTGCTAGAATCCTTTCTCTCATTTTCTCCAAGTTGGTGGTAACATCTGTTTCATACTTTCTATTTAATGACACCAGACTGAGGGCATATGTTTATACAACCATTAACATAACCAGTCCTAACAGAGGTGTTTTTTGGCATCCCAAAGACCTAGTCATAATCTGTAATCTGGCTGATTACTGGATCAACAAACTGATTTAATTACAAGAGAAAATAAAAACAATACACACATATACATACACACAGAAATACACACACACTTTTTTCTTTCTTTCCTTCAATACATTTTAAGAGCCAAGGTCCAGCTCCACACTTCTTTCCCTTTCATGTTTTTTTGGTGTGGATTGTGTGTGGAATGTGAAGGAAGATAAGTGCTTCATTCTTTGGGTCTCTTATAGCAGATGATCTTTAACTATGGGGCAAATTCTTTGACAGTCTAGGTTAAGCTTGGTCTTCTAACCAACAGTTTAGCAGGTTTTTTGTTTTATTTTTAAAATTTTTTAGAAGAAGACACAAGTCCATAGGGTAAGTCCTGGGGTCTTTCCCAACTTCTAAAGTCCCACGCTAAGTGTGGTCCGAACACCGCATCTACCCGGGGTGTGCTTTTTCTGACAACAGCCTCCTCATTCCTCACTGTGATTTTCCAAGTGGAGCCAGTACCTGAATTGAACTGAAGACAAACTGACCTAACTCCTCAATGGAGCTTTCTTTTTCTGGTCCTGTGCCAGGAAAAAAGGCTTTCACCTGGTCCAATGGAAGTTTTGAGAGAAGCAGTTTCTTCTCCCAATTCCTCAACCTGAATATCCAGTAGAAGCTTATGGAATAAAACCAGGCTAAGGTGTTGTTCTCAAACATGTTTATTTGTAACAGTTTTACATGGTGTGTTACAGAAATTAATGGAAAATTTCTAAAAATTTTGCTGTTCTGTTGAATGCATTGTACATAAAGTTAAAAATAATGTGTCCATATATGTTAACAAACGGTCATCTGAGGTAAAGTTAAAGTAGGTCTAGAAATGTACTGCAAGAGTCATTTTCTCTTTCTCATCTTTATTAAAAAAATATGTCAGAACGCAGAAATTGGAATGAACCAAACCCACAGAGTAAACTTTTTTTTTTTTTTTTTAAGAAGGTGCCCGGTACATTACATGATGGGGATTCAGTAGACACAGGGATGAGTACAAATTATCAAAAAAGTCTCGCGGCATGTAAAGAGAGCTATGGGGAATGGGAACAGAATGACAGGTGGTGTTTCCCTGGTTTCAAAATTTAAAGTGACAAATTTCGTGCTAGTGAAGGATGAGGAATTAACAGTTGTACATGTGGATTTTCTATCAGTCTAACTGGAACTGTGCATACCCCCCATGGCCTTTTGGTATCTGCACCTCAGCTCTTACTTGGAAATTTCACTGTTTTCCTGGGATAGGATACGGTGGTTCCGAGTTCCCCAAACAGTGCTTATTAGACAGCAGAATTCAGCCAATGATAACATGGATGGCAGTTTAAAATCTTGACTTTATTTCCCTCACTTTAATGTATTACAGGGGCCATCTTCTTTAAGTTCAGAGCCAGCTACATTTTCACCCACACTCAATGAATGATGACAAATCCTCTGGGCTGTCACTTTCCGCTATGAAATGAGCTCCAGATGGTGTACCTGAAACAGCCACATCAGCCAGAGTTCACTTTGAATATGTCAGAAGCAACCCGCAGAATCAGTGGAAGGGTGTGATACTGCAAGACAAACTCAAGACAACCATATTGAGGGAGAAGATAGCACCACTGGTTTAGAATCAGAATCACGGACAACAGAGCAATTTAAGTTACTTCCCTGTGGGAACTGCCTATCTCATCAAATCCCCAGAAAACTCAATTGAATTGGTCTCAGGACAACTCTCATGGTTATCACACCTTTCCCATTTTCCCCTTCACATGGAAGGATCAGCTCATCCAAAGTATGCACATTCCTGGAGAAGCCATGTCAACCAAAATGTGACAGCTACAGAGGAAGGTAATGGCCCTCGAGTTCAGCTCTCGAGTTCTTCAGACCTTCCATGTTAGGGTGACACATCTATTCTGCAATGGACATTTGCCAGTTAACTGGAAAACATTTAGATTCCAGTGACCTGACAGTGTAAAACATGGGCTTCAAACAGTAACAATTACCTTGACTTCTCAATTTTTTCCTTGGTCACCAAGGATACCTTCTTCCAAATCATTTTAGTTTCTGTTGATACAAAGTATCAAAGTACACAGGCCGATGGCAGTCAATCATATCAAGATAAATTCTACTTTCCAAATTTTAAAACCAAGTAAGGATAATCACCCCCACCCCCAATCCAATTCATCCCATGATTCTTTAAAGGTTTCTTCTTAGTGTTAAACCATTCAATTCAACATACTGTAACTGCATAGGAACATCAGGAAAACACAGTTGACCTGTAGAACAATATTCTCTGTAGGGCAAAAATATATAGATTCTTTATGAAAATCATGTGCTAAACATACGAACCAAACACTGCACTTTTTGTCTCATAAATGTAAAAAAAGGAAGCTTAAATTCTTCTGTTTCACATACAAACAGTCCAGTGATGTCTACAGGGTCAGTGGGAGTGGAGAGGTGGGAGGGAGTTTCAGAATCGGAAGGACAGGCCTTCAGAGCATGAACTGTCTCTTTCTTGTTTTACAGAGAGGGCCGTACTCTCACAGAAAGACTTAGATAAGAGGCTGGAGCCACGTGCTCCCTTCCTGGTCACTAGCTGCTGATTGGCTGACTGCTTCTGCCAGATGTCCCTGAACTCCAACTTCCTACCAGAGCTCCACAGTAGTCTCCGGAAAGTGAGCCCCACCCATCAGGTTTGTCACATTCTGCACTCAATCTGCTACCTTCTCTACAGTGTAATGGCATTATTAAAAAAAAACATTTTCATTAACATTTATATTTACAAAAAAAAAACACAAACGGGCAATTTTTTTTTTTCATTAGAACTCCTTAAAGCCATTTCCCTTAAATATTTAAAGAGTTTAATCGTAAGGTTTTTTGTTTTTTTTTTAAGTTATAAAATAAAAATCCCATTTGAATTTTCTGATGTACAAAAAGAGATAGAGATGAACCATCGTGACCACAGAATCAGTTTGTTACTCTGAATATTCATGTCACCACTGTCCCATTAGCAAGTCGATTTTTTAAAATCCCAAACCACATTACCAGGATTGTACCAGAAGTATTTGGCAAATGACTTTTCTTTGAAAATGGCACATGGAGAGGACACTTGTCTGCATAGCATCACAGCAGCAAGATATCGGAAAAATAAAAAATCTCATTTTATTGGACTTAAAGAGTTTAGTGCTTCTGAGGAAATCAGACGTACTTTTCATCTTTCTCATCAATGGGATTCAATGTCCTTTCCTACTCACAGAGTGAAGGTTAAACCGAAATCTGTCTTTCTTCACCAGGATGCAGAAGAGCTTCAAGGGTTGTTTTGGCAACATTCTTAATCAAAAAGAATCATCAGCCACTTATTTGTCTTGTGATGATTTCAAGTGAATTCATTTCATATGGGGTTTTTTCTTTTTTCCCAATTGAATTTCTTCATCAATACCTTAAAAAAAGTCAAAGCAATACAAAAATTTGTACACTCATTAATTTCAAACATGACTAATAAAGGAAAGGGGAAAACACGGCAGACCAGGCCTTGTGGAGCGTTGTAATTATACCATCCTATGTGGAAAGGCATACGAATGAGCATCTTGCGGTGACAGAGACCTTACATTCGCCTAAATGACGTCAGTGCCAACCCTGATGTATCTCTCTGAGGCCTGTCACTCCAAATCAGATGTCTTTACAGTGGTCAACAGGTTGAGAAATAAAAAGAGAATTCGGGTTTCACATACTGGGTCATCTTAAACCCATGCTAAGAGAGCCTGGAACATGTGTTGGGTGCGTACTTGCTTGATTTGTGATTTGATGCTGGGGATGGTTTTTTATATTTCTGTGTGTTTGTTTTTGTGCTGCCATAGACCTCTGCCAGTGGTTGCCAAAACCTTAGTTCCCTCTTCCAAAGGAGTTCCATTGGGCGATCGTGAATTTCTTCGTGGGATGACGAGAGGTGGAAGAATACAAGAGAGCCTGTCGCGATCTGATTTCCATGCCAGTCTTGAAGCACCCGCCACAAGCCCGCATTGATGCTATTTCTTACATCTGTTGATCTGCGCATAGAGAGGCTCCGGCTCCTATGGACAGAGGGACAAAGTGAGACCCGCTCTTTTCCCGATAGGGTTTTCTGAGACAGTTTGGGAAGAAGGGTTTGGAATGAGAACAGAAAGATGACAGTTTATGATGAATGACCTTGGGTTATTTTGGGATTATTCAGTCATGGTGCATATCATTTTGGCATCCTTTTTTATCCTTAAGAACAGCAACTCACCCAGTCATGCCCTTGGTTTTCAAGCTGAGCCTGACTGCCTGTTAGGGAAATCACAGGGTCTACTTACTAGACAGAGCTGGACTAGCTGTGTGATGTGGACAAGATACTTTTACTTTCTGAACCTCAGTTTCCCCAATCATGAAATGGGAATAATACCATTTACCCTACAGGGTTCTTGTGAGGATTAGATAGAATATATATAAAGCCTCCAGCATAGTGTTTGGCAGGAACATGGTCTTCAGAACATGGTAACAATGATCATACATCAAGTGAACATTTTTCCAAGACAGGTTTATGAACATCCACTTGAGATTGCTGAAATTCTGTCTCAAACCGCTCTTTGGTTTCTGCAAGCAGCGATGACTGGGAATGCTTTAGAGCAAGAGAACAGCAATCATGCCATTAGCTCTTAGTTAAAAGCTTCTAGGGCTTCTTTCCATCCACTCCTGCTGCAGTTTCAGGTTTGGTCAATCACTTGCCTGCAACCCTGGGGCTGTCCTGAGATATTCACAAGGTTTTCACCAATATATGACACAGCAAAAATTCAATCCAAATGTAGATGGGAAATGGTGTTTGGCCTTGTTGAAGTCACTTCAGACTTCAGTTCATAGTGAAATGGCTCAGGGTGCACTGGCAAGCAGATCAGGTCAATATATTGGTCTGAAGCATGCACAGGCCCTTCTGTTAAAGTTGACTTTCATGTTGTCACTCTCAGATATTTGTACCAGAATTAAATGGACAAAATGACATCTTAATTCCACCGTATTTTGTACATTAGCCTGCTCCTGCTATGTGGGTATAGATCCTTTCCAACTGCTTGTTTTCTTGAACCAACAGATGGAACTGGCATTTTGTAGCTCTACCATGTGTTTGACACCATGCTACATATTTTCAAGTACATTGTCTTTTGAATGTAGTGATTAAGGCAGTGATTTATTTCTTTTGCAAATGAGAAACCATGCACAGAGAAGTTAAGTAATTTGCCCATGGTCACAAGGCTAGTAAGGCTCACTTGAGCCTTAAAAGTTCCAGTGCTTTTTCTCATTTATTACAATAGCTGCCATTAAACAACAACAACAACAAACCCCATAACAAACAAGCAAAAAGTCTTCCAGCTATGGCGTTGTAGAGTGTTTTGGAATTTATATAAAACACCTTTATGTCTTATGGGGTTGGCCAAAAAGTTCATCTGTAACATCTTATGAGAAACTCGAGCAAACTTTTTGGCCATCCCAATGTTTTATCTGCCTAACCATCCCAGGAGTGGCTTTTATTCTTTCCATCTTCATTTTGCAGGTAGAAACTGAAAATCAAAGAGGTTGTGTGAACTCAAAGTCACTGTGCTGCCTCTCATAGATTTAATATGTTGTATTGCTTGCTTTTATTATAAAGTGGGGATGGGCAAGAAGATGGAATATGAAGCCCAATGAAGAGAGCTTTTGCTTCCCCAGAGTCCCAAGGTCACTTAGTAACCAGGCTGTAAATAGAATCCAGGACACCTGAGATCAAGTCCAGCATATTTTCTTCTAGAGCTCATTATCTCTGCATTCTTCCAGGAAGAAGGAGCTTCCTACTCTCTGAGGCACCCAATTGTGTAATAAAACAGTTTGCCAATTGGAAACCTGAATGGTTTCTAACCATGGAAAGGTAAAAATACATACATACATATATATATAAAATACTTGTCTTGGAAAGGTTAAGAAAAAAAAGTATAATACTTCTGTCTTGGAAAGGTAAACAAAAAGTATAATACTTCTTCCAAATATCTGATGACATAAAGTAGGAAAGCTTATTCTTCCACACCCAACTTCTGAGTTCCCACCTGTGCATTTTGTCTGCCATTTTACATGTAGAATTAGCATAGTAGGTGCTCAATGAAAGTCTGCTCAATGAATGTGAATGTCTAGGATAGAGTTTCTACTTTTTTCACTGTTCTGATCCCTTTGTCCTAAACACACTCTCCCTTGGCTTTATTCTCTCAGCATCAAATTTCGAGCAAAAGCCACAGCAAGATGATGTGTTAAGCACCTAATCTATTCTCTGCTGATGTCTTGAAATGTTTCAGATAGTTGTGATAAGGCTAAACATGCAACTTTTCTGTGTGTTTGTATTCTGGGGGTGGGGTGAGTGGAGCAAAGGTAGAGAGGTAAAGTAGTGAAGTACCACTAGTCGGAAACAACATCTCCTTGTGCTATGCTGGGCTACAAAAACGCAGCTTCCTCTTTCCTAGGTAGACTTTCTCAGCTCACTCGGCTTTTTGGATGCCCCAAGAAGTCAGGCTGCCTTGATCTCACCCTACCATTTGCTTTATTCTAATTTTGGAAACTAATTTATTCAACTGAGACTGACACCTAAAAACAGAAGAAGACAGCAGGCTCAGACAGGGTAATTAATGCCACACTGCATTAACTTTCTGCAGCTGAGATAAATATTCACACGTCTCCTGCTTGCAGGAATTTAGCTTCAAATACCCATCACAACAGCGGTAACGACTGCAGTCAACTCTCAATTATCCCCACTAATGAAGGGGAGCACTGGTGTGGAAAACCCCAAGCAGCAGATAATCCCAAAGTCTGACACTCTCATGCATTATACGTTTTGGAAATAGCTTTACCTTCCTTGTTACAGAATCTTAAGACTGTCAAGAGCTAGAGGGAAACTAAGAAATCATTTGATCCAGAAATTTCTGACCTGACTCTGGCAAGGTCACCATGGGGTCTTTAGGCTATTTTTGACATTCCAAAAAGCTGAAATGGAATCACACATTAACGCAGCACATTTTTGATATCTGTTGTTTTCTTTTGTCAGATCTGACCATATCTCTGCCTGGCTTCAAATCCTTCAAAGTCTCCTCATTACCCTCAGGGTAAGGTCAAATCTCCTTTACTGGACACATAAGACCTATTAGTCTCATAGTACATTAGAGCTAATAAATGCCCCTTTCCAGACCATGAATCAAAAGTCACCCTTCTGGTCACATATATCATGCTTTAAAAAAAAAAAAAAAATTCCTCATGCTTCTGTCAGAATGATCTTTCTGCAACTGATCATACCAGTTTCCTGATTGAAACAACCTTCCAGGCTCCTTAAGTCCCCAGGGATGAGGCAGACAGCCCCACAGAAAGACCCATGAGGCCCTTCCAACGTGGCCCCCTTTCCCACTGGCTTCATCTACTACCAGTCTTTTGGGCCACACTTCTGCTCTGTTCTTCTGGTCCCCTTGAAAGTGAAAGTGTTAGTTGCTCAGTTGTGTCCAACTCTTTGCCATCCCATGCACTGCAGCCTGCCAGGCTCCTCTGTGCATGGAATTTTCCAAGGAGAATACCGGAGTGGGTTGCCCTCCCCTTCTCCAGGGGATCTTCCCGAGGCAGGGACCAAACCTGGGTCTCCTGCATTGTAGGCAGATTCTTTACCCATCTGAGCCACCAGGGAAGCCCCTGGTCCCCCTGACATGGTAAGATCCCCCAGCCCTGAGACTCTGCTTAGACAGTTTCTTCCAACTTTGAGAGCTCTCCTTGTCCTGCACTTACAGGTTCATACTTCCGGAGCTAGCCCGAATAGAAGGGCTTCTTGGACTGTGCAGGTGACGCAGACCACTCTGCTCCTGGACCCCAGCAGTGCCCTGCAGAGACCCATGTCTACCCTGCCATCACATTGCCTCCTGGTGCTGTCTACACAGGGTACACCGCTGTACCTTTCACGTCAGTGTCCCACATTCTGAGCACAAGCTTGGAACCTGGCCGGCACACCTACTGTTGTAACACAGAGCATGAGGATGTAAATGAGTGAATGAAAAGTTGCTTCTCTTTACTAGGAGTTGGCAGATACTTATGAACTTTAATAAGCTCATTTGTGAATCTGGCATATTAATAACCTTTGTTTCTAGAGGACAACAAAGTAGATAGAAACCATGCAGTAAAGATGAAAACAAATCAACTCTCTAGCGTTTGCTATAAGTTGAATACCCTGTGTTTGGGGAGATGCAGTAAAAGAGTACAAGCACACGGATGTGAAATCAGGCAGATCCAGGCTGGTATTCCTGCTACCAACTGCCTGCAGACCACTGGGAACACACTTGCACTTGAGAAAGTTTGATTTATTGCTCATTGCAATGAGGGGAACCAGGGGCAAGTCTGGAAAAAGTGATTAGAAAGAGCTTCTTATGGGATTAAGCTTATATTAGATGTTTAGCGGGAGGGTCCAGAAAGTAAGGTTTCTCTCTGGGTTAGGTACTTTCAGGAAGCATGAGGATGATTATCTTAATAATTCTTACCTGGGAGGCAGGAAGCACAGAGTAAGACTAAGGCCAGGAGGGAATAATGTTTGGTCATTTTTGGAGCTTGGATGATGTTCATGGCAGCCATGGTTACTGAGTGGTCTTGAATGGGCCTTGACCCATCATGGTGCCTTGTCTGATGCTCATGCTCTGTGAAAATGTTTACATGCAACAGAACACCAAGGGCCCAGCTGTGAGGCTGTCATGCTGATGTTCTCTTCCCACTGTCACCTACTTAGTAACCTTACACCTCCATGCAGGTTATTTAAAGCTTCTGGGTGTCGGTTTTCTCATCTGTAAAATGAGGCTAGAAGTCCTCATTGAGGATTGAAGGAGAAAACACACATTAAGCACACAGTCTGGCACAGAGAAATTACTCCCAAAACAGTAAGGTTTCTTCTATCTGGGAGAGTGGTTCTAGCCTTCCTTAATAAAAAGGTGGTTTCCAGCCTAAAAGTCACCGGTAGGTGGCTTTACAAATTCCATCTCCTTCATTCCACTTCTTCATAGTGTAACTGGGCTGTTAAGAA